TTCAATCTCCATAAGAAAAGAGCAAATTGGAAATAATTTAGGGCTATGTAGCTGCATTAATTGTTTTCAAAATTTTCTGGCCTCTAAAAAAAAAAAAAAAAAAAAAAACCCAAACCTGTTGCCATTGAGTCGATTCCTACTCGTAGTGGCGCTATAGGACAGAGTAGAACTGCCCCATGGGGTTTCCAAGGAGAGGCTGGTGGATTCAAACCGCTGACCTTCTGGTTAACAGCGTAGCACTTAACTATTGTGTCATAAAGTAGGTGTTTAAATAGGCCTTTCCTAGTAACCTCTAAATGTATGGGAACATTGTCAATTAGTTTCATTATTTGGAGCTGAGGATTTTGAACAAGATTTCTAAGTCCTTTTTCTTTCTCTCATTTTATAAGACTGTGGCTTCTTTATTTTGACTGTCTGGGACTGGGTTTTTCACAAGCAATACTTGCTCTCCTGGGACAGTTTTACCCCTGCAATATTGTTCTTGTTTTTCCCTTTCAACCAAGGTCCTTGAGATATGAGTCAGTGCTAATCATATTCAAAGAACTAAATTGGGTCAAGGGCCTTTTAACAGAAAGTTGATGAAGAGAATTCTGTCTCTCTAGGCTAAACATGTAGTTGTAGAATCATTCCTGACTCATCATGAAGGCTGCTGACTGTGTTCCCGTGCTAGCTCTGAGTGCTTCTTTCTTCCTGGCGGCAGTCCCACAGTCCTTCCACATAGTCTATATCTATCTATCGCTTCTGTTTTTCATAGTTTCACAATTCTAGAATTAAAATATGATTAGTGATCATTGGCTTTCACTAAAAGTGACACTTCCCTAGGACCAGTGAGACACCATTTTATTCTGAGGGGTAGTGATCTGATCAAGGTTGCAAAGCTCTTAAGAGATTAAGTTGTTACTAGAACCCAGAATTTGGACTGGAAAAATAGCTCATGGGCTAAGGGGTGCAAAAAGAGCCCCTGATTTTCTTCTTGCCAATTGAGTCACAATTCCTAGGCACTGTCCTAGATTCTAAAGCCTTGATGGCCCAGGGGTTAAGAGCTTCACTGCTAACCAAAAGGTCAGCAGTTCGAATCCACCAGTGTCTCCTTGGAAACCCTATGGGGCAGTTCCACTCTGTCCTATAGGGTCACTATGCATCAGAACTGACTCAACAGGTTGTTGTCCCAGATTTTTGGCCGAGATTTCTTCCTGTTCACAACAGGTCACTGATACTTTGGCTGTTTGTCTTTCCTCTCTTGCTTCCATCTCTTATCTTTGTTGAAATGTCTGTTCTCTGTACCTCATCTGTACCCGTTACGTGTACTACCGTCAGCACCTCAATGAGAGCTTCTGTTTAGGTTCCTGTTTTATTCATATATGTTTCTTCCAGCAGCCCATAGTGCAAATCATTGAAGCAGAATAGGGAGGGAATAATATTACACACATAGAGTTTTTACTATTTTTTTTTGCAACAGGTATCTTTCCACAAGCAGTCCATTCACCTGAGAGACATCAGTGGGCTTTCCTAGGAAAGGAGCACATTACAGAGGAAGATCACTCTACTGGGAGCTAGAATATTTGAATCCTCTCCTGGTTCTTCCACTTCTGAGCTGTGAGCTTGGGCCTCAATATTATACTTTCTCAGCCTGGTTACTCACCTCCCTGAGCTTATTAACTCTATCTTGTCCACCACCTTCCTTCAAACATCCAGCACTGTGATTGGAACATAAAAAATGACCAATAATTACAAGCATTCATGCATAAATGAATGAATACTCGCAAGATCATACGAAGTGACTTACAGTGGTTTTTTGAACTATAAAATTTCATGATAATTATGGTATAATTATTGGAAGACTGTATTTAATAGCTAAGAAAATTAGAAGGCCCAAGGAACCATTTTGTGTTTCTTGACTGTAAAATGAAATAATATAATACCTATTTCAAAGAGTTGTTGTTGGAATTAAGTGAGATAATATACGTAAAATGCGTTAGTATGGTGCTTGGAACAAAATGCATCATTTTATCAATAATAATAGTTATTATTTTCTCATTATCTCTTCAAGAAAGCAAATTAGTCAGGCCAATTATTTCAACTGATATCATTAATACAGATATAAAGAATGAAGTGATATTCACATTGATTTCCTGAGCCTGCTCAGAAGGGGTCAGAAATTTTATACAGCTTTCTGACAAGTTTTTTGGTAATGATATAAGCTAATGTCAAAATAAAGACTATTTATATGTGAACTTTATTCTAGGTAATTATTAGACTGCAGAATTTGTTTATAAATTAATATTTAGAGATACTAATGTATTTAATATTTTTAAGTTTTATTTTGATGTGTTATATATTTAATAAAATTTGTGATAAATTCACTAAAATACGTGTACCCTGTATGTAATGATAAGAAATAAATGTATAAGGAATAAACTTATGTATTACCACTATGCAAAATTAGAAATTATTTCTGTATAATGTGAAGTAAAAATGTAATTTAATTTTTGTCTGGTTAAATAAATTAAGCAACAGCGAATATTGAGACAATCCTGGTGTGAAGTACCACCTTTGTCATATATCTAGTTATATATGTGTGTAAATCTAGTTCTAGACTTTAGATTCTAATACAGTGGCAATGGGTATTTTTTTTTTTAATCTCTTTGTAATATTGAATCATCTGTTCAGTGAACACAGCATATTTCTCAATTTTTTAGATTTTTAATGTTTTATTATAAAGTAAAATAAATTTTCACATGTCATTTTTTTGTATTAGATAATTTCTTTGTGCCTTATAATTTTTGTTGCTCTTATACATGGTGTGTATTTAAAATTATTTTCAAACTGCTTACATAGGAATTAAATTGAATTTTGTATGTTGATCTTGTAGACACTTTGTTTTTAACATTTGTTTGTAGATTTTATATTTAGATTTAAAGGTTTGTGGATAATGAAAGCTGTTTTCAATTGCTACTCCTTTCTTTATGATCTTAGTACACTAGCTCTGTCTTCCAGTTCAATATTTAATAGAAATATTCAGTAGAAAGTGTGATTGTGAGCATCTTTTTCTTATTTCTTATTTTAATGGAATATTTCCAATACTTCTCCAAAAAAATATGACTGTTTTCATGTTAAGGAGGTTTGTTTGTGTATCTAGGTTGCTATATTTTAAAGGACAATTGGATGTGAAAATTTATGTAGTGATTTACTTGTATCTCATAATATGACTGTTTTATTTTTTAATGGGGTGAATGGCATTTATAGAGATGCAGATTTGGGAATTGTCAGCATGTACATCGTATATAATGCCATGAAACTGATGATTTCATGAAACAAGTGATGGTATAAAGTAAAGAGAATAGGTCTGAAGCCTGAGCTCTGTGCCTCCCCATCCCCAGGTGGAACATACATTCCATCGAGGAAGACCACAAGGAATCATAAAAGCTACTGAGAAGGAGTGACCAGTAAGGTAGGAGGAAAACCAAGAGATTCTTGTGTCACAGAAACCAAAGTAGGGAAGGGTATCAAGGAGGAGTTGATCAACTTTGTCAAATACTTTCTGACAGGACAAGGTGAAGACTTGATGGTTTTAACAAGAGCAATTTCAGTGCAGTGGTGGGGACAACAATCTAGGGATGAGTTAGATAAAGGTTATGGACCATGAGTTGGAGGCATGTGATTGAGGTCATAAAGGGATTGAAGTTATCAGAATGGCAAGGACTAGGGTGTGATCCTAAGCTCGAGTGGCTAAGGTAGTGATGCACAAAGTCTTTGAAGGAGAAGAGTTCAAGATTGAGAGAAGCCCAGCTTATCTATGCACATACTGAATTGGCCAAGTACAGAGTCAGCTCATAGCGACCCTATAGGACAGAATAGAACTGCCCCATAGAGTTTCCAAGGACTGCTTGGTGGATTCGAACTGCCAACCTTTCGGTTAGCAGCTGTAGCACTTAATCACTATGCTACCAGGCTTTCCAAGTACGGAACACACTGCACACTAACAGTGGGACAGGATTCCTCTAAAATCCTAGAGAAATAATGAGAAACGATCTGGGAGTTAATGACTGGCAGCAAAATGCAGCATAGTGGGTAATATACTCTGATGATATGAGATTAAAAGCTTCTTGTTTTGTTTTGTTTTTTAAGAATAGAGGCAAAATTGCAACGAGGAGTAAGGAGAACGCTTGCCCTCTATGCAGAACAAGTGGAGGGAAAAAAAAAAAAAAATCAGGCTTTCCATGGGGGCCCTACAGGGGAAATAATTTTTTTCTGGGTAGAGCAAGCAAGAAGTTCAAGGGAATGTTAAGAGACTAGGTTGAAGATAAAGCAGATTTTGCTGAAAATATATCTTTAATTCCAGATGACACAGAGAAAGAGTCTCAAGGGGAGAAGACAGATGAAAGAGATGGAGGGATTATGGGAACAGAGCCTGATGGGGTCCCTGTGAGTTGGGTTTTTTTTTTTTTTTTTAATTGTGAAAAGAGAAATTTTTCTTGGAGTATATGTGTTAACTTTTGTTGAGTGAGCTTTGCTGAGGGAACTTCTAGGGAAGCTGACTTAAGCATGTGGATCCCTTTTCACCCCTCTTTACCAGACTTTCCTCTTTTTTAGTAATATAAATATTCAAGGCTGTACATTTCTTTATAAATACTGCTTTCAATGAATCAAACCTTTTGATATAGGTCTATGATATAATATAATTTTAATTTTGATTCATTCTAATCATTTATAAATTTCTATTTTAATTTTTTAATATGTATTATTTATTTTTTTTAATTTCCCAGCTTTTAAATTTTATTAGTTAATTGCACAGTGTGATCACAAAATGCAGACTGAATGAAAGCCGTTTGTTTGAAATTTGCTTATACTTGCTTTCTACTCTAATATGTGATCAATTTTTGTGAATATGGATCTTTTTACATAAGGTAAAATATTTGACCAAGGTTTCAATGATTACAACATACTTTCATACCTCTTCTTAGCTAATAAAACCAAAGCCTAACTTATGAGACGAAGACATGTCCAGAAGAAACTACACTGAAGTGACAGCATTTATTCTTTTGGGTCTAACAAGCTGCCCAGAGCTGCAAGTTGCCTTCTTTGTGCTGTTCCTTTTGGTCTACATAGTCACTGTGATAGGAAACTTGGGCATGATTGTTTTACTCAAAGTTGATTCCAGACTTCACACTCCCATGTACTTTTTCTCTCAAGTTTGTCTGTGTTAGATCTGTGTTTCTTCACGAATGTCACTCCCAAAATGCTAGAGAATTTCTTATCGGAGAGGAAGACCATCTCATCCACAGGTTGTTTGGTACAATGCTATACTGTCATTGATGTGGTCCTTACAGAGCACTGCATGCTGGCCATCGTGGAGTATGACTGCTACATGGCCATCTGTAATCCACTGCTGTACAGTAGCAAGATGTCCAAGAGTGTCTGTGTCCACCTGGTCATTGTCCCTCATGTCTATGGCTTACTCCTAAGTGTGATGGAAACCTTGAGGACCTACAACCTGTCCTTCTGTGGTGCTAATGAAATTAACCATTTCTACTGTGCTGACACCCCTCTTATCAAGCTGGCATGCTCTGACACCTACAGCAAACAGTTGTCGATGTACGTAGTAGCTGGCTACAGCAATGTCCAGTCCCTCCTGATCATCCTTACCTCCTACATGTTCATCCTTGTTGCCATTCTCAGAAGCCATTCTGCAGAGGGGAGAAAAAAGGCTTTTTCCACATGTGGCTCCCATCTCACTGTGGTCACCGTCTTTTATGGGACCTTCTTCTGTATGCACTTAAGATGCCCCACAGAGGAATCTGTGGAGGAGGGTAAAATGGTGGCTGTGTTTTACACCACAGTGATCCCCATGTTGGACCCCATGATCTATGGTCTCAGAAACAAGGATGTGAAAGAGGCCTTGATCAAAGCAATAGGGAAACAAAAACTGGGGAAATATAAGTGTTAAGCTACTATTTAAAAAGTCCTTGAAGTACTATGATATGATATTGTTGAGTTAGATCTCACATTTTTGACTAGTTCTGTGCATGAAATTTCTAACTTTCTTGTTAGACGGCTGGCTGCGTTGAAATTCTTAGAGGTAGTGGTTGAAATGGGAAGTCTAGGAGATACCAATTAAACAGCTCGTTCTCTTTCTTAGTTGTAACAGTTAGTGTCATGCCTTGGAAAAAAAATAGAAAAAAGAAAATCATTGACTTAAAAAATAGAATTTTGCTTTACTTTGTTTTGTTATCAGATAAAAAAGACATCGGGAAACAGGTGGTCTCTGAGTTGTATGTTAGCATTATTAAGTTAGGTCTTTAGCCTCCTTGCAGCCTGTTTTGTTTGGAACATTGCTTACATTCCCAAAGTCACTTCATGATCCAAAATGGCAGCTAGCAAGCCAGCACACATATGTGCATGTTCTCCATTGAGAACTTAATCAAGCTGAGTTTCTCGCACCTTGAAAAATGGAACCTCACCATGTAAATTAAGCTTAATTTGGGCAATAAAATCATATGCCTCGCATTGTGGAGATTGTGAACTGAAAATTATACTCACCATATATACAAATGATTTTCTTCATTAATAAAGTTTTAAATTGTATTTCTCAAGCATTGTATGAGCTTTTCTCTTGGAAATGGGTAGAAACTATATTTGTAAGGAACATAAGTATTAGAAATTATTTTCTACCAATAAAAATCATTTATTAAGGAATGTTTTTGTATAGTGTTAAACAACAAACAACAACAGCAACAAAGATCAACACTCACCTAGGAATTAGTTTGGTTTTAGAGATATAGATTAATATTTTCAGACAAGCAGAAGTCCATTTCAATCTCATCAATGATTTGTGTACATGAAATATGTCCCCCTTTATTCTCTTGTCTTTTACCAAATGTTTCTTACTGAAGAAGAGAAAGAACTTTCACCACGAGTACAAATAAAAGTGCCTTGTCTACTGTCAGGTATAGATTATTCATAATATATGTTGTGATTGATGCAATACTGACATAATTGTTATCACAGGGGACACCAAGATCTTTTTTTTTTTCCATAAAACTTTTTTTTCCCCAGCATAGACTCTCGCATACAGAAAAAAACAAAGTAAAATAGGAAGAAAGCAAAATATTGAGTTTTTCTATCTCTTATTTTAAAAATTCTAATTCTTCTGAGAGTTATTTTATCCTGGAGATTAGTTTTCCATTTTAGGTGATGTAATCTGTGGCATTTTAATTACTTCTACATGATTCTGACTATATTCTCCAGTGAGAAAGTCCCATGGTGGGAAATCCAGCCCTTATAAATTCTCCTGATATGCATTCGTGATGACAGATGGGATGTTGCCAACAACAGCTTTTCTTCATGCAGGTAGAGCCTATGTGTTCTCATATAAGCAGTCTAAAGTGTCAACCCTCTAGGCTTTCCTTGTAATTCTTAGTAGGCAGAGAATAGTCTGTGGAGGGTTCTTAGAAGTGGGATTGAAGAGATTTCACTTTGGCAGTGGGAGTCAGTTGTGGATGTGACTTTGCTTAATGCCCCTGTCTAAGGACTTCAAGTCATCCCTTGAAACACGGGCATACAGTCTTACGTAAACAAACAATGGGATTCCGTCCCTTCACGTGTCATTAGTGGTGACTGAATAATTGTGTTTTTATTTCTTTAATACAGCTGTCATTCTCAACATCTCTACCTTGCTTTCTCTGCCTTTCTCTCCCTGCCTCTCTCTCTGTGTGTGTCTTACACACACGCAGAGTCATTGAGTTAAATTTTTATACAGTACCAGCATCTTTACAATACCAACAATATGTTTACAAATGTAATTATTGACAAAGAAGCCCACCTCTCTTCAGTACACTAGTATACGATCCTATACTGCTTAGAAACCACTAAGCCCTTTCTTCATTCTTTGTTTTACATTCTAAATGGCTAGAGTGTAGCCCAGAGATAGTCTGAGAGAATGAGACAGGCCTACATATAATTTTATAGAATTCTCTCCCTGTCACACAAAGCACTTTGAAGACCTCTGTAAGGCTCATGTAGCTTACAGATATGGGGTAATCCTTCTGGAATAACCAATACTTTTGGTTCTTTTAGGACTGAGGGTTTTCCCAGGACACCAAACCTTCAGTGACAAAATGGGGGAAATTCCGGGCACACCCGGGTGGCGGTTGTTTATCCTGCGTCTATCTCACCGGACACTGAGCTGGATTTCATTAGGGGTTCAAGAGTGTGGATTTCATGCTCCTCCCCTGTTCAAATTGTCATTGAACAGCTACTAAAATTTGAGGCCTTCTTGGAGCTGGAGACTCAGGTCATACAGCTTGACTTACTGACACACTCAGCACTTAAGCGCTTGGAGCCCAATACATTATCTTTTTCTTATATTTTTTGACTACATTTGTCTTAAGTGAAAAAAAAAAGAGCAGTTAAAATGTTCTTTTTATATATGTAAGACTTATTAACGGTGAAATAAATCAATAAAGCTGTAAAAAGAAAGTGATAGCAGCACTTGGATAGACTAGACACAAAGAACGGGTTTCTTGCCTAGATGTGTGGAAAATGGCTAATGATTTGGAAGCGGGCAAAGAAAAGGGCACATTTGTAGAGTAAAGGGGATATGTTAATACAGTTTACAATAGCCTCTGTTTCTGTCTTTTACAAATTCAGTTAGATTGAGTAACACATCTTTGTTCTTGTCATCTTGGCAGAGACGACCTATAATGTTGCTCCTTTGACTTCACTTTTACTTTCATTGCCAACATTCTAGGAAAGGATAAGAATCATCACAAAAATTATCTTCTTTCACCAATTGCAATTTTATTTCTGTCACTTAAATTGCAACCTGGAAAAAAGTATTGGAAGTCACAGATACACAGGGAAACGAAGATACGTGCGAAGTCCAGGGAATGAGGAGAGAAGGACCAATCTCAGTTGATGACTGGTCGGAAGAGGGATGTATCTTTATAGGGAAGATAGAGTTATTTGGGAATAGATAATGCTGGATGAGAGGAAAACAAACGATTTTCCTGAAAAGTAATAAATAAATATATAGCAAAATAAAATAAAAATGTCTTAACCCTCCATTTGCTAAAATAGCATTTACCTCTAGTTCTTAAGTAGCTCAGAGCTACCCTATAAAACAGATTAGAGCTGCCCCATGGGGTTTCCGAAACTATAATCTTTGTGGAAGAAGACTGCCACAACTTTCTCCTGCAGAATAGCTGGTGGGTTCAAACCTCTGACATTTTGGTTAGTAGCATAACATTTTAATCACTGTACCACTGGGTAGCTATGAGCCGGAACTGACTTGATGGCACACAACATTAAGTAGCTGGTAAGACTGTTTATCTATACACATATAATCTAAAACTAATGAATGTCTTAGTATTCATGACTAAATTTGTAAGGAACAAATAAACCTGTCGAGAGAGGGAACAAGTATGTTATTGTTGTTAGGTGCCATTGAGTCGACTCGGACTCATAGCAACCTTATGTCAACGGAAGGAAACTCTGCCCCATCCTGTGCCATTCTCACAATCGTTGTCCTGCTTGAACCCACTATTGTAGCCCCTGTGTCAATCCATCTCATTGAGGGTCTTCCTCTTTTTCACTGACTCTCTACTCTATCAAGAACAATGTTCTTTTCCAAGGACTGATACCCCCTAATAACATGCCCAAAATATGTGACACAAAGACTTGCCATCCTGGCTTCTAAGGCGTATTCTGGCTGTACTTCTTCCAACACAGATTTGTTCGTTCTTCTGACAGTCCATGTATAATCAATATTCTTCACCAACACCATAATTCAAAGGCATCAATTCTTCTTTAGTCTTCCTATTCATTGTACAGCTTTTGCATGAATATGAAGTGATTAAAAATACCCTATGGTGGCTTAGACGTACCTTAGTCCTCAAAGTGATATCTTTGCTTTTTAACACTTTAAAGAGGTCTTTTGAAGCAGCTTTGCCCAATGCAATACATCATTTGACTTCTTGACTTCTGCTTCAATGGGTATTGATTGTGGATCCAAGTAAAATGAAATCCTTGACAATTTCAATATTTTATCTGTTTATCATGATGTTACTTATTGGTCCAGTTGTGAGAATGTTTGTTTTCTTTACGTTGAGGTGTAATCCATACTGAAGTCTGTAGTCTTTGCTCTTCATCAGTAAGTGTTTCAAGTATAAGTAGGCGGAATTGGTGAGGACGTTATTACTGATTTGTCAAGGTATGAGTAATGATAATAAGAGTAACAATAATAGCTAACACTTAATGCTTCCTGTATGCTACGCAGTGTTCTGCTGCCTTTACTCGGATCTTCTTATTTAATTCTCTCAAGAGCCTTATTTTTTTCAAAAGATGAAACCATCTTCAAGAGATGAGTTACACACATCATTTTAAAGCAAACAATCATACTAAACTGTACTGTAAATGAGATATTAACCTTAGAAGAGAAATATTCTTTATACATCTTTATAACAGGACATGGGGCTAAATTCATGATTTCTGCCTTTTTATAGATCCAGCGTAAATTTGTGTTGCCTTTAAAAAGTTTCCAGAATCTATTATCTAAAAATAATAGATTTTAGATAATTTTCTGCAGTTTTTCATTCTTTTGTGATACAAATATGCTTTAGAATAGCTGTTAAAAAATTGCCATTTAGTAACCCGTTCATGTTATACATACCTCAAGGAAGTAGGTACAAACAAAGTGCTTACCCTTCAGGTGATAAAGAAACAATTTAATGAGTTGTTTTTATACAAATTCTATGCATGCGTGTGTATAAATATGTGTGCCTGCATTTGTGTGTGTATAGTAATCGGGGTACTACATATTGTAACTACTTCTCTCCTAAATAGATAAGAGTATAAAACAAAGTGCTCAAAACACAAGACCAGAGAATACTAATGATTCAAAGTCAGACTCTTGTTTAAAGTACAAATAGTCTCTGACTTATTACATATCGGAGTTATGAGGAATTGCACTTGCAATCGTCTGTTTTTTTTTGTACATCTTACCGTTTGTAATATGTACTACATACGATGTTAAATATATATCTGTAAGTTTATATGTAATATTTCCAACCACTTAATACAAATAAAGATAGGATATATAAAGATACTAATAATAAAAGGCAATAATAATGAAAACTAAAAGAAAAAAAAATGCGATATTAGACTTAGGTTAGAACTGATTTAAACAGAACCTCATCAAAGTCGGAAACTATCTAGTTTTGTTCAACTACATTTCCATTTATGCAAAAGGATATCTTTCAAGTTGCTGGAAACATTGAGATTCATAGTGAGGTATTTTATTTCTCATCCCAGGCATTATGTTTGTGCTTATCTAAGGAACACACAATCATAATCTGCATTATTTACATGTAATACTACTGTTACAAACTGAGAACCATTTGACAGAAGTACTTGGCTTTCTTAGCCAGTAATGGGCGCCCTAAACAGAGGTTAGAGGAATGGAGGTTTCTTTGCAGAAACTCTAAGAAACATCTTTTCTTATGGCTTTTCTTTGGTCTTCTTAAGATAAGTTAAAGGCTACCAAGAGAAAACTAACAAATATTAACTAATTTTTCTCAAGGCACAAAAGAATATGACAAAATACACTTTTGATTTTTTTAATAGATTCATATGCAACAGTTAACATCCGGGGAAGTCACTTTGACAACCAATCTCCTAATTTATACAAATAAGGAAAGCTAACCCCAAATGAAGAAACTTAGTAACAGAGTCAGGTTAGAACACAAAGCTTGGGATTTTCATCTGTGAGTCTTTTCTCTAATACTTCATGTATATATCTTAATTGATCTCTACACCCACCCCAAAAAGTAGACCTTCTTATTGTCCCCTTTTACCCATGAGCAAACGGAGGCACAGAGACGTTAAATAACTAGTCTAAGATCACACATCTAATAAGCAGTAGGGTTGGGAATTGACAGTTTTACTACCTTAGACTTTACCTATTTTATTCTTAAGGAAATATTTCACAGTTGATTAGTATTTTAAGGCAACAAACAAGATATCCATGTAGTTCATCTTTATTCCCTCTCACCTCTTCAATATCACCAGAGACCAGCTGGGAAGTGATGATGATGACATTCTTCTTAATTGAACTTTGGTAGCAAACACCGAATAGTTTTATGAAGACCCATTCGCTGTATAATCACTTGGCCCATGAATAAGTAGAAATAAGAAGAAAACTCCTCCTGATAAATTAGCTCAAAGTATTTAAACCCAATTACTGGAATGTGCTAGAAGATTTTCATAATTCAAAGAGCTAGCCAACTTAATTTGATACAGTAAGAAAACAAAGCCTCCTCTCCAGTCTCCAAACAAATTTACTTAGCTTTCTGATACATTTTAGATACTATGAATTCAAGCTTAAACGTTTGTAGAGAAATAATATAGATCTTAGCTCATATTTTATTGCTTTTATTTTACTCAAAGTTCTAAAGAACTTTAGGAGAATTGGCCAACGGATAGCAGGGAAATGAGAAGTAAAAGGAACTCTAAAAAACGGTATGTTTGAGGGGACAATAGGCTGAAATAATCATTAGATGTTCAACAGATGGAGAAGATAATCACTTTTTGACTGTCACAAAGTATAATTATGTTTTTGTAATGATTAACCTAAATTATAATAGTCCTAGGCTAATGAACGTGAATAAACACATAATTTCTTTTTTTGTTTATTGTTGTAGTTTAAATGAAGTTTACATTTCAAGTTAGTCTCCCATACAAAAATTTATACATACATTGTTATGTGACCATAATTGCTCTCCACATACTGTGACAGCACACTTTTCCTTTCCACCCTTGATTCCCCATGTCCATTCAACCACCTCCGAACCCTCTCTGCCTTCCCATCTCACTTCCAAACAGAAGCTGCCCATTTAATCTCTTGTATCTACTTGAGCTAAGAGGCATACTCCTCTCGAGTATCACTTTATGTCCCACAGTCCAGTCTAATCCCTGTCTGATGAGCTGGCCTTGAAAATTGTTTAGTTCTGGGCTGATAGAGAATCTGGGGGCCATGCCGTCCGGGGTTACTCCAGTCTCATTCAGACCATTAAGTATGGTCTTCTTACTAGAATTTGAGTTCTACACCCCACCTTTTTCCTGCTCCATTAGGGACTCTCTGTTGTAAACACGTAATTTCTGATCTCAAGTTTAACAGCCTAATAAGGCAGAGAGAAATGGAAGAGTGAGTCTGCCATAGAATTTGTTAATGGTTCAAGGACAAATGGAGAAGATCTTAGAAAGGATTATTGCTTGAGTTCATTATTATTAGACTTGTTTGTAATGTGGACAATAACTAAAAAGGATCAAACTATTTTTTAGATTGATTTATTTTTTAATTGCTAAATCAGTGTGATGATTTAAGAGATTTTCTGTCTTATTTTTTCATTCTGATAAGAGTAATGGATTTACATCAAGCCATCTATATAGTTTTATTATATTCTTTTTATAATAAAGATTACAAATTTGCAAGACGACTAAATGAAAATAACATTTTACTTTCTGATTACAGAATAACACTTCTTTCCTTGTACTTTACATTGCAAATATGTTACAGGTCTTCTAAATTCTATAAATCTAATGAAGAAATAAAATGTATACACCTTCTCAAAGTTGGGGCCACTGAAAAGAAGTCTTTTCCTTCCCAGGGAATAGCAAGAGTAGAAGTTTGTTTTCTGAAATCTTTATTTGCAGACAAATAAAATCTTTGTTTGTAAAAGTTCTGTCACTATATTTCTATACTTATTAATGTTTTAACACTCTATGTGTAAAAAAATCATGTATGCATACACGCACATGAGAAAGAAATATTGGTAAGAAAAGATAGAGAAAGAGAGGAGAAACAAAAGAAAAACAGCAAAGGCATTAAAAGGAATAGGTTAGCAAAGGATAGCATAAATGAAGAATGGCTATACTTGGTATGTATATTTACTGATCTCTACTGATTTCGTTAGATAAAATGCATCTCTCTCTGGATCAGATTTAAAAAAATGCTCAATTTTACTGAAGTGACAGAATTTATTCTTTTGGGATTAACTAGTCATCCTGAATTGCAACTCCTTTTCTTTGTGGTTTTGTTACTGGTCTACATTATCACACTGGTTGGGAACATTGGTATGATCATATTAATCAGTATCAGCCCCCTGCTCAGCAGCCCCATGTACTTTTTCCTCAGTCACTTGTCTTTTGCTGATGTGTGGTTCTCCTCTAATGTCACCCCTAAAATGTTGGAAAACTTGATATCCGAAACCCAAACCATTTCCTATCCTGGTTGTATAGTGCAGTGTTTCTTTTTCATTGCCTTTGTCCACAAAGAAGTGTTCATCCTCTCTGTGATGGCCTTTGATTGATACACGGTGATTGGCAACCCTCTCTTATATGGCAGCAGAATGTCAAGGACTGTCTGTATTCGACTGATCTCCTTTCCTTATATACACGGCTTCTTCATTAGTCTGATCTCAACACTCTGGACCCATGGTTTGTACTTCTGTGGGAACACTGAGATCAACCACTTCTACTGTGCAGACCCAGCTCTCATCAAAACGGCACGTGCAGGGACCTTCATTAAAGAATACACCATGTGCACATTAGCAAGTCTCAACTTCTCTTATTCCTTATTGGTCTTTATTGTCTCCTACATATTTATCCTGATTGCCATCTTAAAAATGCGTTCAACAGAAGGAAGAAAGAAAGCCTTCTCCACGTGTGGGTCCCACCTGACAGCTGTCACCATATTTTATGGAACTCTCTTCTTCACGTATCTTAGAAGCCCAACTGAGGAGTCCGTGGAGCAGGAAAAAATGGTGGTTGTGTTTTACACCACAGTGATTCCTATGTTGAACCCCTTGATCTACAGTCTCAGGAACAAGGATGTGAAGGAGGCCATGAGCAAAGCAATCAATAGAACATTTTTAACTAAATAAAATAAAAATTTTTTGATGTATGATGAGATCCATAGTCCAATAGAAGGGATGGAAGCTAACCATTTCTTTCAGATAATTTTGAGAAAAAGTGTTATTTATATTTTCAATGAGTAGTCAAAAATAATACATAATTGAAAAGTGAATAAAGGCATAGCAAGTAAGAGAAGTGTGTTGGAACTCTGGACTCTCTGAGTCTATGAAATATGAAGTACAAAAAATGTTGAAAATATCGTCTATTATTTTTCCCTTCAATGCAATATCAAAATAGTGAGTTATTTTGGAATAGAGAATGTTTTCTTCAGGACTCTGAGACATTTCACAAATCAACTTTTTAAATTCTGCTTTGTAGGAAATGTATTGTTCTCTTCTTGCACCTAGAGTAGATTTTGGTTCTGGATTATATGTTGTTATTTCAAAATGCTTAAATGGAGTATGATTTTACAATAAATCATTGTTAATGACTGAAGACAATATCCCTGACAATAGAATATTTTATGTACATTCTGTTATAAAGTCTATTTAAACAATATTAGTTAATATAAGTACAAAAGCTTGCATTTCCAAATATATACTAATTAATTAAATAAACTTCATTTGTATATGGGCTTTTTAATATCCTGTGGTCTCCAATTAATATCCTACTTATATCTCAGCTTTTAGAGTGATTATGAGAAGGTAAAGACACAATCTCATTGGTGTTCTGGAATTTAAAATATATTTTCTTAAGTAGGTTTTGACAGGTCACTTTGAGAATATTTTTAGGAGATATTGAGAAGTATTTATTCTTTCTCTTACTGTTTGTGCTTTTTTGTTTAGCCTTTTTGGGATTGATGGTAGTCGAAACTGGCTGCCCCCTTAGTAGTTCTAGCATGTTCATTTGTTCCTTGTCATACATTTCATGTCTGATTTTAAAATTAAAAGTCACTTATATATAACTAATGCTCCATCCTTTGGTTCTTTACAATATTGTCTAAAAGATTTGATTTGAAAGACAGGAAATATTTAGAAGCACAATCAACTGAAGTTGTATAAAATATAACCTTCCTTGTCAGGGTACAAGTCCTGTTCATTTTCTTTATCACTAATTTTATAAGGGCATCAAAAATGATATCAGTCATATTTTCATTGACTGAATTTTAATTTAATTCAGTCCTATTTTAATAGGACTGGATTTTTCAAAAGAAAGAAAAAGATGTATTGATGCTTATGAATTGTATATGTGTATATATCTATACATATATATGCACGAGTGTGTGTGTATCTGTGTGCTCTCCCTCAGAGTAGTCAACTTGATCAGTATTTTGCAGGAACTCCTATTTAAGAATTTTCCGTAGGTCCAAATGAGTTGTCATACAAAATATCCAACATGTTTGTATTGGGAGGGTCTGCCAGTTTAGCGTACTGCCTTACTCCTCTTCCACTGTTCTTAAGTTTGTAACTCCAGACTGCCTACTTCACCAACAATAGTTCTCTTCTTTTCTCTATTTAGCCTTTGTGAATTGTGCCAGTAGCCTGAAAAGTCTGAAAGAGCAGCTATGCAGTCACGGGCCGAGGAACCAAACCCACTGTCGGTCAAGTTGATTCCTACTCATAGTGACCCTGTAGGACAGAGTAGAACTGCCCTATAAGGTTTCTAAGGCTATAAATGATTACCTTTCTTCCACAGAGTGGCTGCTGGGTTCAAACTACCAACCTTTCAGTTAGCAGCCTGCACTTTAACCACTGTACCACCAGGGCTCCTTCAGTGGCCTAGAACCTGCTGTCATCGAGTCAGTTGTGACTCATAACAATCCCACAGGGTTTCCAAGGCTGTAAATCTCTAGGGAAGCAGACTGCCACATCCTTCTCCCACAGAACCACTGGTGGTTTTGACTGAAGACATTTAGTTAACAGTCAATCTTTCAGTTAACAGTCAATCGCTTTAACTGCTGCGCCAAGGGCAAATACTTAGGGGCAGAGACAGTGAAGGTTAAGTTTGAATCTGAGAAATTGGGGGGTAGGGGTGGTATGCAAAAGACATTAAAAAAAAATTATAACACAAATACTATGTGTGTGTGTGTTTCCCATTAGATCGTTGAAGGTTCAATTAACTGACTTCCAAAAACATGTGCTAAAAATATCCATCAAGAACTGCTTATAGAGTATTTTCCTCTTCACAAGTTTACTTCACTCCACATCAATGTTTGTGACTCAGAAATAGTTCTGAACAACACAGTTAGAATGTCTCTCTGCAGTGAGTCAAGAGGAATATCTAGTGGCAAAAGGTTGAAAACTTGTACAAGTATTGAAATTTATATATCAGTATATGGATATATAAAAACAATATTTGTTACTCTAATGAGAATAGAGAAGATATCATGTCTGGTAAAGTAGAGGGTCAGCAAAGAAGAGGAAGACCCTCAATGAGATGGAATGACACAGTGGCTGCAATGATAAGCTCAAGCATAGCAACAATTATGAGGATGGCACAGAACCTGACAATGTTTCCTTCTGTTGTACATAGGGTTGTTATGAATTGGGACAGACTAGACGGCACCTAACAGCAACAATGATAGGAATCAGATGTAAAGATTTCTTAACATGGAGTGATATAACTGAACTTGGTGAGTTCACCAACTTAAGTCCATTTGACTCAGCATGACCATGTTGTATGCAAATATAACAGCCTTCAAAGATGATATTAAAGTACTTCTCAACCACCCTTGATTGCATCCCTCTGCCCAAGCAACTAGTGTTTTCATTTTATCTTATTCCCTGTTGTTGTTGTTAGTTGCTGTTGAGTTGGCTTCAACTCATGGCGACCCCATATACAACAGAATGGATATAGAGTAAATCCATTATTTTCATAGTATTTATTATTGACTCTGTTTTTGTAGGTGAACTCTAGATGATACATCTTTTGAAAAGAACTTATTGCAGAGGTGTAGTGATTACATGAAGTGAGAGTAATAAATAAAACACTGTCTGTCCATTCTAGGACTGTTACTTGCACAGGGCGGACAAAAAAGAGAATACAAATCATTTCTAAATTCTGGTTAGCTGGATTTGTAGAAATTAATGAGTGGTTCTTGGAATTTAAGGTGAAGCATCATTGCCCTTTGAACTAGGTTCTCTTGCGGCACACAGCTCTTCCACATGATAGCTACCTGTCCAAAATTTCTAAAGTCAGTAGTCGAGTTGGCAATTATGCTAGACTTTACAAAGGAAGACAGAGTCTTGGATGTTTTTAAGGGAAATGCTGTTGCTGTCAAGTCAATTCTGGCTCATAGTGACCCTATGGGACAGGGTAGAACTGCCCCATAGGGTTTCCAAGGAGAGATGCAGATGGTGGATTTGAACTGCCGAAATTTGGTTAGCAGCTGAGCCATTAACCACTGTGCCACCAGGGCTTCTTTTAAGGGAAAGAGAGTGTTAAATACTACTTCAGTACTGCAGACCAGAAAACACCACAATAAAAAAAAATAGGTTTTTAATACCATTTTAGATATATTAATTTTTGTACATTTAACAAGGGCTACATTTTTTTACTACACAGAAGTCTAAACCAAAAACAGACAAACAAAAAACAGTTGCCCTGGAGTCAATTCTGACTCATGGTGACCCCATGTGTGTCAGAGTGGTACTGTGTACCATAGGGTTTTCAGTAGTTGATTTGTTGGAAGTAGATCCCCAGGCCTTTCTTCCGAGGCAACTCTGGGTGGATTTGAACTGCCAGCCTTTCAGTTTCTTGCTAATAGATAGAAATAATAATAATTATCTCAGGGGGCAGTATAAGAATTAAATTATCACAGTGTCTCACCTGCATTAACTTCAATAAATGCATTATTTTTCCTTTATCATTATTATTATTTTCCTCATTTATAAAACAAGGGAATAGAAGCAGATAGTAGCTTTCTGCTATGATATGCTATACATTTAACTGTAGGCGTCTCCACTTGCTTCATCTTTCACTGGAAAAGCTAAGTGGCACAGAGTACAGGATTGGAATATGAAGCCTGAGGAACCCCATCAACAGATTTCCTATGATGCAAATTTTGTCATTTGATCCCAGGACCCATACAGAATAAAGTAAGTTAAGAGAAAAACTAACTTGTACTAACCTGTCATAAAACAAAACAAAACTCAATAGTTGACTATTTCTCTAGAGATGCCTTCCCTAGGGTCATTTCTAGGGGGAATTTCTTAATTGCTACTTGTTTTCTATGACAATCATATCAAGAGGGCTTTCTGGTGAACTTCTTCCAGTTTCTCCTTTGACTGGTAAAAGTTGCTTGCCATCCCTATTTAGAATTCACTCTTCATCTTTGCATCCTTACTGGGTATATTTATCTTCATTTTCAGGTAAGTAAAAAAATAAATACATCTATCTGGCAAAGCTTGAATCTTAGATTTTTATTTTAGTTTTTATAAGGAAATTTTATTTATTTATGTTTTGTGTGTGTGTGTGTGAAGGAGTCTAACAGAGAGGAAAGGAGGGAGAGAGAGAGGGATGGAGAGAAAAGAGAGATAGAGGTAAATTTTCAATAGAGATTTGATTATTTTATTATAAAATATTACCAGCAGCTACCATTTCCAAGACTGCATTTAATAATTATCATTTCATGAATATTTAGCATATGTTAATGTACAGTATCACCTCATACTCACAACAGCCAATGAAATTGGTACTATTATTAATCATACTGAGGCAAGAAGAAATTAAACAAAATAATTTAAAAAATAAATAAATAAAGCTTGTCCATGTTCATAAAATAAGTCATGAAGACAAGATTCAGCTAAGGTCTGACAATAGAAACAGAATTCTTTAACTGGAACACTGAATATTGCTGCTTGCCTGGTCTGGAAAAAATTCATATTCATTGGTAATGTCATTTGAAATGAAGAATGATATAATAAGGGAAGATTGTGAATATATTTTTGTCTTCTGTTGATGATGAATATCCTCTAGATGCTTCTAAGGTTCACATACCTACTTCCTTCTAGACTTCGTAACCCTAAGATCAGACTTAACCACTCCGTTTTCCCTGTGATTTTGCTATTTCTACGTATGACCTGGCTAGTCATCATTCAAATTTTCTTAAATTTTGCTTTTGGACAGCATATGGCACCATCTGTTAGGTCCTTTTTTTTGTGCTGAATCATCCTTGCTACAACACAGTCAAACGTGACTTTTAAACAAGAGTCCTTGTATTGCTGATCTTTGAAAATCAAATGAAGGTGAAAAAGATGGGAAGCCACAGGCATATGCTGTGGAATCAGAGATCAGGTATGTCTACTGCCATGTTGGAGATCTCTTTTCTGATGTAAATTTCTCATTATCTCTATGTTTTCTGTATTGCCTATCATGATGTCTAGAACATATATTTAGTTTTTTTTGTATGTAAACCTGCCAAATTTTTAAAAAATCATTTTTTTCTTGTTTAGGAAATGCATCTTTCCTAAAAGTTAATACTTTAGGAAGTGCATCTTTCCAAAAAGTTAATACTTTTTTTTTTGATAAAGTAGAATTATTTGGGCAGTTTATTTGTGATTTACCTTTCGTATTTCTGCTCTCATCATTGCTCATCTTCACTGCCAATGAAAAATACTTCCACAGCATGTTTGGAACACAGTCTCCAAACATATTGCCACTGCCTCTCAGACACCCAAGGAGCATATCCAAGTATGAGTATATAGTAGCATGCTAGGGAGCATATATGCAACATAGCAAAAAAGCAAACCAATTGCCATCGAGTCAATTCTGACTCATGACAACTCTATTATGTTTAAGAATAGAACTGTGCTCCATAAAGTTTTCAATGGCTTTGATTTTTGCAAGTAGATTGCTAGGTCATTCTTCCAAGGAGGCTCTGGGTGAATTTGAACCACCAACTTTTCGGTTATTAGCCAAGTGCTTAATTGTTTGAACCATCCAGAGATTTACATATACAACATTAAGAGTGGGTATTTTATCATGTTGCCTTCCTCTCTGGTATTAGTTTTTATTCATTTAGTTTTTCCTTTTTCTCAAAACCCAATGAAAAAACAAGATTTGGAGGGTGAAAGAGAGGTCTAAACAAAGTTTATAATTTTAGTGAAATTGAATATACAAAAATTAGTTTAAAAATAAATTTATGTTTATGTCAGCAAAGTTCGATAGAAGTTCTAAAAAAGAAAAAAAATGTTGGGAAGAATTGAGTTATCACAAGTAATATATGCATGCACAGTAGCAGTCTGTAACATATTTACCTCACATTTTTGATAGCAAACATAGAGTTATGCATTGAATTGTGTTCCCTCAAACTATGTGTTGAAATCCTAACCTCTGTACCTGTAAATATGATCCTGCTTAGATATCGATGTTCTCTTTTTTATGTTAATGAGGTCAGACTGGAGATGGGTGGGTCCTAAACCCAATCATTTCTGAGTTATAACAAGAACAAAACAGACACAAAGATACACACAGAGAGAAGGGGAAGACAGATGGTAGATGAAATATCTTTATAGGGATGCATTTATAAGCTTAAGAATGCCAAGGGTTGCTGACAGCTACTAGAAGCTGAAATAGACAAGAAAGAACTTTCCTTAGAACCACACCCTGAATTCGGATTTTAGGTCACTATGAGTCGGAATCAACTCAATGGCAATAGGTTGTTTGTTGTTGGTGAACTGTGAGAAAAAAGATTTCTGTTCTTTAAAGCCACCCACTTGGGATATTTCTGTTACAGCAGCAATAGGAAACTAATACACACCATCCATCATATTCACTTAAAATTGCCAATTACAATGCAAATAATTTTGCAATTCTTTTAGCTTTATGGTTGTGTAGGTGTTACACACTTGTATTACTGTGCATATTTGAGAAATTCTGTAATAAAACCTACACAAAAAATACTTTTTCAGGTACTACCATTTTTCTCTCCTTGATATATCACTTTTTATTTCTTAAAGGCTCACAAATATATTCCGTTAAAGCAGTAATTTATCTTTTGTGACACGAATGTTATACTGATGGATAAAGAATTTTGGTCAATTTATTAATACACATGCTGTCAATGGCCAATTGAACAATAACTAAGTAAATGCTATTGACTTAGACTTTAGTAGACTTTAAAGGAAATGCCGCTTTGTTTATCATAGATTGATGTTCAGCTATATATAATTCAATGCTATCACATGTATTCTCCAAGTTTTATTTCCATAATACCTGTGTGTGCTTCCATCCAAACAATCATTTCAAATTGGCCATTGAGAAAGTCTTCAAGGGGAAAATGAGTTCCATAAATGTAACACGAAGGCTTGGGACTTGGGTGGGGGTAAGACAATGAAACTACATGGGAAGGCTGATATATTTTGTACAATAAAACAGAGGAGCTTAGAGGTGAATTCATCAACTGTAATAGATTTCACAGCCTATATGCAAATGTATTCCACGACAGTTTATCCAAATTTAGACAACTTTGTCATTATTCTTTAATTTAAAAAAAAATTAATCCACTGTAAACCGTAGATTTTCATTAATTGATCCAAGATTCTAGATTTGTGTAGAGTCATTCTAATCCATTTTTGTTAGCAGCCTTCTCCTTTAATTAAAAAAAAAAGTGCTTTTTTTTTTTTTTTTTTTAAGTAGGGTGGGTGGAAGATTATGAATACTTTGATGAATGAAAGTCAGTTTGTTCTCACCTCCCTAATAGCTTGCCTAATTTCTGCCTTTCCTAGTTACTACCTAGTGATAATTACGGATAGGATCCATCAAATTGTGGTTGAACAAAGTTTAATCTTGGATATAGAAACAAAGATCTTGGGAATGATTATTTGCCCTGGAAATGACATTTAGCCATTGGAGGGCATGACACAAATTTCATCTCCAACAAAGTCATTACCCTGCTGAAAAGATACCTCAGGGTTCTTATTGGATATAATTGCTTTCTGTGTTCTATAAAACATGAATGTCCATAGATGTTGATGAAATCTCTATGTGTGTGCATGTATATATACAGAATTCTTTCACACAGAATTTATCATAATTTGAGTTTACAAGGATAGATATTTATCTCTAAGAGCTTGGTTAGAGTATGACGATTTCTCAGTCTTATTTGATTAAGGAACACTTGTGTTTTTTTTTTCCTTTATAATTTCTATTAAATCATGGAAGGTGCTGGTGTTTTCCTAGGAATATAATTTTAGAAACATTCTTCCAGGAAAAGGTTCATAGGATACAAATTATATTTGAGAATACATTTGCAAAATACTCAAGAACCTTTCCAGAATTCCGCTGGACCCCCCAAGTATGGTCAATCATTCCCCGATTTATGCCCCATTATAATTCTGTAAGAAGATATCACACATTTTGTAAGCATTTATTTACTTACATTAATACTTGTATAAAAATGACATTAATCTTTTCTTATTTGTTTTTGACTATCTGGAACATAGCAGTGGATTATATCTAAACCAATCCTACTAACCCCCCTGCCATCAAGTAGATTTTGACTCATGGCGACCCTATTGGACAGAGTAGAACTGCCGCATAGGGTTTCGAACACTGTGAATCTTTACTGAAACAGACTGTCATATCTCTCCTGCAAGCAGCTGGTGGGTTCAGATCGCCAACCTTTTGGTTTGCTGCTGAATGCTTTAACCACTGCATGACCCCGACTCCTTGGATTATATCTAGTAGAATACAATTACATGTCAGATTTGGAGGGGGATTCATATCCATGGAATATGCATAATATGGGAGCCCCTGGGTGGCACAAATGGTTAAGGGTTCAACTACTAATCAAAAGTTACCAGCTTGAATCCACCCAGAGGCAACTCAGAAGAAAGGCCTGGTGATCTGCTTCCAAAAAGTCACAGTTGAAAACCCTATGGAGTGCAGTTCTACTCTGCAACACATGGGGTCACTATGTATAAATGTGTATAAGTGGTACACCATTTTATACTTGGTGATGATGGCTATTGTTTGTCCCTCTTCAATTTAAGTGAGTAGGGGTAGGAGGTTAGATTATCTGACATTTAGAGCTGATAAATTATTTCATTCATTGGCTTCCATCTCTAATAAGGAAGAATATTCTTATAATGAAAAAAGGAGACAAAAGGTAAAAGAGATTTCTGAGTTCTCTTGAATAGAGATCTACAACTTTCCATTAATATCTTAAAAATATGAAAATACCAAACAGAATTGGCATTAAGGGATGTTTAAGAAGTAGTCTTGGAAATTAAACTGCTGAAATAACTAGTACTACCATGTTTCAATCACAATATTTTGTATAATTCCTATAAAAGAGAGTTCGTGTATTTATTAATCTTAGTGACCTTCAGAGAACCTGTTACAAAGATTTGCAGAAAAAAAGTGACAAAGTACAGTCAGGGATATTTAATACAAATAACAACGAAAAAGGACATGAATTAAACTATAAATGAATAAATAAACAATTCCTGATTTTTTTTTTCATTTATTTCCTTTCAAATATCACAGAGCTTTGTAACTAGTATTGGCTTAGCACTGATAACATGCTCAATTTCACTGATGTGACAGAGTGTATTCTTTTGGGATTAACTAGTCGTCAGGAATGGCAAGTTGTCTTCTTCATCATTTTTCTCATGGTCTATATTATCACCACAGTGGGCAATATTGGCATGATCTTGTTAATTAAAGTCAGTCCACAGCTTAACAGCCCCATGTACTTTTTCCTTAGTCGTTTGTCATTTGTGAACGTTTGGTTTTCTTCCAATGTCACCCCTAAAATGTTGGAAAACCTTTTGTCAGAGACAAAAATGATTTCGTATTCTGGTTGTTTAGTACAGTGTTTTTAATTCATTGCCCTTGTCCATGTAGAAATTTTTATTCTTGCTGTCATGGCCTTTGATAGATACGTGGCCATTGGGAATCCTCTACTCTATGGCGGCAAAGTGTCAAGGGTTGTCTGTATTCGACTGATTTCGTTCCCTGACATATACGGCTTTCTGACTAGTCTTGCAGCAACATTATGGACTTATGATTTGTACTTCTGTGGGAAAATTGAAATCAACCACTTCTACTGTGCAGACCTACCTCTCATCAAAATGGCCTGTGCTGGGACCTATGTAAAAGAATATACAATGATCATACTTGCAGGCATTAACTTCACATATTCTCTGACTGTAATTATCATCTCTTATCTACTCATTCTCATTGCCATTCTATGGATGCACTCAGCGGAAGGGAGGCGGAAGGCCTTCTCCACCTGTGGGTCCCATCTGACAGCTGTCATCATATTTTATGGGACTCTCATCTTCATGTATCTCAGACGTCCCACTGAAGAGTTGGTGGAGCAGGGGAAAATGGTGGCTGTGTTTTATACCACAGTGATCCCCATGTTGAATCCCATGATCTACAGCCTGAGGAACAGGGATGTGAAAGAAGCCATGAACACAAAGTGATCACTAGAACATGTTTAACAAAATAAAATAGAGTTCATTTGTTTTCTATGCTTCATAAATATTTGTTTGGCAACAGATTATTGCTCAATACAGAGGCACATTAAAGACTTTCCAATGCACTGAAAAGAACAAAAAGAGAGAGACAGAGACTCAAAATGGGAGAGAAAAAAAGTAGATTGATCCATTTGTGTCAAAGTTATGTAAACTCCCCCCCAAAAAAACAAACTTGTTGCCATTGAGTCAATTCTGACTCATAGGGCCCCTAAAGGACAGAGTAGAACTGCACCATAGAGTTTCCAAGGAGCGTCTGGTGGATTTGAACTGCCAGTCTTTTGGTTAGTAGCCGCAGTTCTTAACCACTAAGCCACTCATAGGATTGCTATTAATCGGAATTGAGTCCGTGACACTGGGTTTGGTTTTTGAAATTAAGTACTGAGGACTAATGAAAAGTAAATTAATTAATTGAAAAGGTGCAGCAGACGTAGTTTACAAGTAGAGAAATTGAAATTGTTCAAATAGCTTAGTATCTTACTTATTTTAGTGCTACTATAACAGAAATACTGCAAGTGTGTGGCTTTAACAAAGAGAAACTTACTTTCTCACTGTTTAGGAGGCTAGAAGTCTAAACTCAGTGAACCAGCTCCAGGGAACGGTTTTCTCTCTCTGTTGACTCTGGGGGAAAATCCCTGTCATTAATCTTCACTGTCCTAGGAGTTTCTCAGCTCAGGGACCTTGGGTCCAAACGACGTGCTCCCCTTCTGCTTCTGCATTCTTGGTGGTAGGAGGTCCCCCTGTCTCTCTGATCTCTTCTCTCTTTTGTATCTCAAAAGAGATTGACTTAAAACACAACCTAATCTTGTAGATTCAGTCCTGCCTCATTAACATAACTTCCACTAATCCTACCTAATTAACATCACAGAGGTATAATTTAAAATACATACGAAAATCACTTCAGATCACAAGATGGTGGGCACCACAAAATATTGGGTATATATTTTGGAGGGATACAATTTGGTCCATAACACTTAGCTAAAACCAGATACTTTATTTTTCTTATTTAAAAATGCAGTGGATAAATTTGGGAAACTGTTGTTCATTTGACTATTTAGAGAGTAATTTGAGGCAGAAAAAAATAACAACCTGTTCAATTGTCTCGTAGTATGAGGACATAAGACACAATAGTCTTACTAATAATTATGATTCTGTTTAATACATCTGTCATTGTTGGCGTTGGATCAGTATTTCCTGGTACTTGGGGACTGAGGAATGTAACAGAGAGCTTTTCCTGAGTCTAATTCTGTTCTTAGTTTTCCAAACTATATAGAGGCAGTATATAGTTTAGAATTTATGGATAGCCTAGTTTGGCAATCTTGTTCTTTAACTTGCTAGTTATGTAAACTTAGACAAAAATTTAACCTCATGCTTATTTTACATATGCATATTTATACTCTTCAAAATAGTCACCATATTAGTCACAATCACATAGAGATAGTGAGATAATAGTTGTAAACTTCTTAGAGGTGAAACTACAAATTAGTTCAAATTTTTTGAAGGCTTAATAGGCAACAGGCCCTGGGCCGAGAGTTATTTCTAACTTATCTTAGATCACCATAACTACACTTTAAGATAGCACGACCTCTTTTTACAGATGAGCACATTGAGGTTCAAAATTTTATGACTTGCCCACATGGTTAATGTGGTAGAGCCAAGGTTTAATTTCAGAGTTGTCTAACTTCCAAGTATATGATCTACTGCCTGCCAGAAAAGCCTGAATGTAGTGGGACAAATTATTTCTTCTATGATCTAATGCTTCATCAATGACTTCTACTTGTGTTTATTCTTCCTAGAGTTGGCAGATGATCTTTGATTTTGTGTTATCTGACATCTGCAAACAAACAAACAAAAACTGAGCCATTGGTGGTGCAAAAGGTTGAGAACTCTGCCACTAACCAAAAGGTGGGTGGTTCAGATTTGCCCAGAAGTACCTCAGAAGAAAGTCTTGGAGATCTACTTCCAAATGGTCACAGCCATTGAAAAAACAACAACAACAAAAAACCGAACACACATAAAAAAACTATGAGATATGGAGAACATGCAGTGATGTGATCCTTTATCCTGACAGATGGTACTTATTAAACTGCATCATATGGAAAGTCCCTCGCCGAAATTTTACATGATCCAAACAAAACATATTTTTTTGAGGTGCATAACTGCAAAATGTGAATGAAAGTGGGCAGAACCTATGCAAAAGTGGAAGACACATGGTACCATAATGACAGGATTTTGATCTTTGTTTTACAATGAGCAGTATTCTTCCAATTAAAATTATTTCCCTTCTCCTACCCCTGAGATGTTTCTAGAATCTTAATCATTATTCCTTTCCTAATTACCTGGGTAGTTCCTTAGGGAGATGCTCCCAATGTTCAAGACTCTTTTATAAACGGTGAGAGATTACTCATTTGCTGTTCGCCTCTGCCGAAGGTAGGTCTGCAAGTTCTGTAAGCTTTGCAATGCACATTGACACAGTCAAATCTTATAATTTTCCTTTCTATTTGATGAGAAGATTAATATCTTATCCTTAGATTTATTTTTACTACAAAGTTTGGCTGTGTGGAGTTATATTACTGGGAAATTTTCTTATTTTTACTCATACCAAACCAAACTTGTTGCTGTCGAGTTGATTCCGACTCACAGCGACCCTATAGGGCAGAGTAGAACTGCCCCATAGGGTTTCCAAGGAGTGGCTAGTGTATTCGAACTGCTGACCTTTTGGTTAGCAGCGGAATCCTTAACCACTGTACCACCAGGGCTCTATTTTTATTCATAGTACCGTCAAAACTTTGTAAAAATGAGCTTGTTGTAGGGGATTTACAAAAACCTTTATTGCTCATTTATTCTCCTTTCACTCCTCTTTACAGCTAAAGACCATTGATTTTCACATTGTTATTTTAAAATATCTATGAATGGAATTGGAGATCTTGAGTCAATGGAACAATTACATCAGTGATTATATTTTTGCTGTTTTTCTCCATGGGAAATTTCTCAAGTGTTAATAAACATAAAATTTTTTTTTAAGAAACACATTCTATGTTCTCAATAGTTTTGATCAATAATTCACACCTAAATGTAATAAATGAGTTCTCTCCCAGAAGTCACCTGGTCATCTGGTCCTAGGTCTATGGGAATCATCTCACATTGGATGGATAGGAATAAGCAGTGGCCCATATCTGTAGTCCAGCCTGCTTTAGGGGTTTATGCAAAACTCTTCTAGTCCATCAAGGATGATCTATCTAAAGGATAACTTTCTTCTGTCTTGAAGGGTAATTAAACTAAATTTTAAATAAAAAGAAATAGAATAACATCATAGGTTATCAAAGTGGCAGCAATATGAGGTAGTTAATGCTACAATGCCGAAGTCAGATTAATTGGGTTGCATCTCAATCCACCCAAGTAGTAGCTATCTGACTCAGGGAGATTTTCTTAAACTTTTAGTGCTTCAGTTTTCTCATTTGTTAAAATGGAGCTGCTAATAGAACTTGTTTTATAGGATTTTTGCATACAAGGGCTAAGTAAACATTCAATAAAATTACCTATTCTTATTAATATTATAAAGCATCCGCTGCTTCCACTAGAAAATTCTTTCCTAGACAGTTTTACAAACACTGGAGTTTGTAATGTAGTATATAAAGTTGATTTAAAGATCAGGAAGCTTTAAAAAATCATATTTGTGAATATTCCTGAGTATCTGTTGTATGTAAAGACTAAGTTAGGCAACTTAAGGGGCTTTAAGGTGAGTAAGACAAACTCTGTTACCACAGGGCTAGAGATAATCTATGCCCATTGCCGTGGAGTACATTCTGACTCGTAGTAGAACTGCCGCATAGGGTTTCCAAGGAGCAGCTGGTGGATTTGAACTGCAGACCTTTTGGTTAACTGCTGAGCTCTTAACCACTGCGCCACCAGGGCTCCAGTGATAATGTATGGAGGAAGAAAAATGTACACGTCACAAAGAGACTGAAACAAAATGAACAATGGTCTAGAAAACTGGTCCTCTTTCATGAGAATGGTATTATTTATGTTTCTAAGACATCTTGATGCTTTTTAATGTAATATTCTTATACTTAAAACCATAGACCAAAACCAACCAAATGAAACAGCTGCCATCGAGTTCATTCTGACACATAGTGACCCTATGTGTTTCAGAATAGAACTGCACTCCATAGGGTTTTCAGTGGCTGTGATCTTTTGAAAGTAGATCACCAGGCCTTTCGTCTGAGGTGTCTCTGGATGGGTTTGAACTGCCAACCTTTTGGTTGTGGGCGAGTGCATGGTAGTACCATTAACCCAAGTCAAGCTCTGTTAACTAAAGAATTACAGGTTTATGCTATCAAGGTCAGGGTTTTTTACATAGGTAAATCCCAGAGCTTAGCTCTCTTTCACAGCAAGAGTCTGCAGCTCTCAAATGACCAACACATAAAAGGAACCAAGACGGATGAGCTACAATCATGGAAATCTATTGTAAGGGCAAGCTTAGATCAGAACTAAAACTCCAGAGCTTATTTAAGTTATGCACCCAATTCATTTTAATATAGTATATGTAATTCTCATATTAAGCATTTTAGGGATAAGAAAATAGTTCATAAAGATTAATTTTTCAAGTGTTTCCTGCTACTAAGCTAATGGTTCGGGATGTGATTATGGGGTCAGTACACTTTCTAATATGTAATGCAACCTCTTTAGTAATGTCCTTTTTGACCACGTCAAGCTAACATTTCCTCTTCAGAGTTTTTGTACTTCCACTCCACTCTTACTTCATATTTCTACATAGCTGGCTACTTCTCACTACTTGGGTATCAGTTTAAAATTCACCTCCTCATACAGACCTTCTTCAACCACACCATTTGTAACTCGCCCCCTCCCGCAGCTTATTCCCTCTTCATTAGCATGGTGTACTTATGTCACAACAGTTTCCTCTACCTAAAATACCTCATTTGCTCATTGTTTATTTCTTTACAACAGTAATGAAGTATGATGAGAGCAGAACTCTTGTGTATCTTGTTCATCCTTATCTTTCTAGAACTGAGAATAGTTCTGGATATAATCTACCAAATGCATCTGGCCTTGATGTTTATAGAATGAAATAATGGAACCAGTTAGAAACAAAGGACCATTTATAAGTCAGTGGCCTCCCCAAACACTGTTATTATGGAGAGATGAAATTCCTAATATGGTGCTAATCCTACAGATACCTCCTTAAGCATTTATGGCACATTTTTACTTCTTGCAAGAAGTCAACTGGGGAAGTGTATTACAAATAGAAAATATTATTTGGAAACATTTAGTTTGTACTGGCATTAAACTGGAATATGAATGATAAGTGGAATTAATTGGTTCTGAAAACTAGTGAAATCTGAAAATCAGCCACTGTAGTTAAAGTAACACATCACCTAAACTTTACCTCTTGATATTTATCCATGGACACAGTTTTGATAGTGGGTGCTAAATGATTGATCCACTTTTAATTTACTTTTCTGTGATAACCAGAAAACAGATATAGTGTGTGCTATCAAGTCCTTCTTGCCTCACCCTTGCAGGCAGTAGCAATGAAGCCAGCCTAGTGTTTAGCTTAAAAAGTAAAATTTGACCAGGAATTTTACATTTCAAAAACATGACATCATATGCTGACATAATGTCGGACAAATACGTCAACGAGATTTATTTGACAACTAGATTGTAACACCATTGTATAAATCCATTGTCCCATAAAATTATACATGGAACCCTCTGAGATGTGTAAAAATAGGTAAGTTAATATCGCATGCATATTTGTATTTTTATTGACACTGAGAGGCAACTATGATATGTATTCAATGAAGTATCAAAGTACGTCCCTTGTCTACTTCCCAGTTTGTCACTAACTGGCTGTCTGACCTTGAGTGTATACTTTAACATTTATGGGCCTCAAGTTTCTTTTCTACAAAATAACATGTTGGAATGGATTTAGTCCTTCTCTTGAAACTCTCAGTCTGACTTTGGTCATATCTATGCCCTCTGATTTTAAGGTAGACCTATTGTAATAATCTAGTAAATATACAAATGCCTAATTCTAATATTAGTAAAGAGTATAATACACCTCTTTTACAGATAAGAAGCTAGAAAATGATTATGGTAATTGTGTATAGGACCTATTGAAGGGAACAATGATGCCTATATATTACCGTCTTGGACATTGTGCAAAAACTACATTGCTTTCTAAATTATTTGAGTTAGAATAAGGATAAACAAATATTTCAGGAACAAAACAAATCTATTCATGTTTTGTCTTTCTCCATAGGCCATACAGATTGGTTCCCTATAAAGGCAATGCCAAATTTCATGGATGTGACAGAATTTATTCTTCTGGAGTTGACCAGTCACCAAGAGCTACAGGTTCTCTTTTTCGTGGTGTTCCTAGTAGTTTACATGATCACTGCGATAGGGAACGTTGCTATGATCATTTTGATCACCATCAGTCCCCAGCTTCAGAGTCCCATGGACTTTTTCCTGAGTCATTTGTGTTTTGTGGACGTGTGGGTTTTTTCCAATGTCACTCCCAAAGTGTTGGAAAACTTACTATCAGAGATAAAAACCATTTCTTATGTGGGGTGTTTTGATGAAATGTTGCTTTTTCATTGCCCTTGTCCATGGGGAGGTCTATATCTTGGCAGTGATGGCCTTTGATCGGTACATGGCCATCTGCAACCCTTTGCTTTATGGCAGAAGAATGTCCAGGACTGTCTGTGTTCGACTTATCTCTGTACTTTTTATCTATGGATTCTCTGTTAGTCTCATATGCACACTGTGGACATATCCCTTGTACTTCCGTGGAAGCTTTGAAATCAACCACTTCTATTGTGCAGATCCTCCTCTCATCAAGACTGCCTGTGGAGGAGTTCATATCAAAGAATACACAATGATTGTCATCGCTGGAATTAACTTCACATATTCCCTCTCGGTAGTCCTGGTTTCCTTTACATTTATTGCAGTAGCTGTGCTACGCATGTGCTCTGCTGACAGGAGGAGGAAGGCCTTCTCTACTTGCAGGTCCCATTTGACAGCTGTTACCATGTTTATGGGTCCCTGATATTTATGTATCTCAGGCGGTCCGCTGAGGAGATCATGGAGTAGGGGAAAATGGTGGCTCTGTTTTATACCACAGTCTTTCCCACGCTAAATCCCATGGTCTACAGTCTGAGGAACAAGGATGTGAAAGAGGCAGTCAATAAAGCAATCATAAAGGCAAATTTGGGGCAATGAAACTGGAGTACATACTGTTGTGGTATGTTGGTACCTAAGTACTTTCTAAAGGCAACCCTTACATATACAAAAAGCTTCAGTTTAACACTGATATTTTACCCGATGAATGAACTCTAAAGACTCAGCATGCTTTATACCTTACATATGCAACACTTTTATTTAAACTGACATAGTGTCATTCACGGTGTATGTAAAATTGTGCTAAGCATAGTCATTGGAGCCACTCATAAAAAATTCTGGATAAATAAATGCTAATTTGGAGGTGCGCTTGGTATAGTTGAACATTATTTCCTATGGTATATTTTTATATCCATGCTCCTTGACTTAGATTTCATGTGAAATATAATTTCAGCAAGGAAAAAAGTAAAAAAAAAAAAAAATGTTTTTACATGACTAGAGGATGTTAATAGATCTTAATTTCCCTAAAAATTATTCTAAAATGTTTATGCATAGATGGATTTTTGAAAATGAAATTGTGTTCAGAATCTTCAACTAATATCTTAATACAATCATAAGAGTTGTCCTCAGTATGTGTTATTTGACTGAGAGTGAACAATGTTTCTGTTCCAATAATCTGTTTTCCCACCCTAACTTTACTCATTGGTTTGGATTCTACTATATATTTTCTGATGTTAAAAGATTTTCTGTAATTTAAAATCTGACCTTTGACCATAGAATATCTTCCCATTAAACATTTGCTTAATAATCTGATTTGAAACTATTGTTTGATTCTAGCTTCTTCCCACTAATAATACATTCATTGGCTCTGTATTTAGCAGCTTAAATCAAACATTCAGTGCCTAGAGTAGATCAACCAGATAAGTAGCTCAGCTCAACTTAATGCTATTGAACTGAGAATCCATTCTAATTTGATCAATATGGTTCAATATGATATTTCATTTTGGCCTTGTGAAAAATTAACAAAACTCATTGTTCAATTTATCTTGATTTTTGCATGTGCAGTATACAACATAAATTGGTCTACCCTATATGACTCTTTCTAACTTACCAGCATAAAGACAAATGGCAGGTAGGCATGTTTCCTGGAGAGAGTTTCTTCTAGCGTAAGTTGTTGTTGTTGTTAGATGCCATTGAGTTGGTTCCAACTGATAGTGACCCTATAGGACAGAGTAGAACTTACCCATAGTAGCAATCTCATTTAAAAGAATGTACAATTGGATACGTGTAGAAGACACTGAGAAGTAGCATATAGTTGTGCTAATGTCTCTGTAAAGGTGAACGAGTTCAAACACGGAGAGTATTGTTATTCATGTCAATATACTAAACAACCAGGAGACATTTTCCCAGTGACTTAGACTGGATCTGAGGAAAAGCAGACCTGGGAGTACTGTTTTTTACTCTAAATTCTGAGAGCAAGAGGAAAGAGTGCCATTAGTTGGTATTGTTAACACTTTTTATGTGTTTTAGATCACCTGAATTTGCTTCAGAAGAGTTAGGGTCAAGTCTCTAAAGTAGGGCCGCTCAAGCAACAACTGTCTTCTCATAGATTGACATAATATGACATTTCAAGGGTTCGTATTTTCTGTGATCCTTATAACAGAGATGTTTTACCACTGTTCTCTTTTTCCTTTAAGAAATAAAACCATGGCCACCCAGCTTTGGACCACCGTTCTCATCTTCCCTTGTTAAGGTGTCACCTTGCTACTAAAGTTTGGCAATGAGGTGTCATCAGAAAGCTATATTTTCTGGCATTGAGTTAGATGTATCTGGTTTAATCAGAAGAAATAGGAACTCTACCCTGTGGTCTTAGATATTAGGTTGTATCCCTTTTGCCTTGCCACTCAATGATGTCCTTGGATTTGTCATGACCTTCAGTTGTCACATCAACTGATTATGAATCAATCCCCTTTCTCCCAATTCTAGGCCAAGTCTCTCCACTAGCCCTTTCAGACATCAGGGAGTTTTTTTCTTGAGCTCAGGAATTCTCAGCTGTTTTTCCTCCACCATATTTGTAGGCATGGACTAGGTGAGCCTCCATCAGGCTTTTTAGCCTATCCATGCTTTAGCTATTGTTTCTTTTCTGTTTGGTTTCCCTTTTGGAACTGTGGTTTTTCTGTGAAGCTTTTAGTCTCCCTGGCTACACCCTGGGAAGTTGAGCCATCAATCCTTTTGTAGTTGGAGCTCTTCAAATTATCTGAACTTTTTTTATTTTTCTTGGTAGCTCTATGGTTTTGTGATTCCTAGCCTTAATCCAGGATGCTACTCAGAGGAAGGGGAACCAGATATCTTTTCAAAGCTTCGTAGACAATAAAATCCTATTCACATTCCTAATCTCAGCTTCAGCCTTATTAGTCTTTTATATTATGAGTGCTTTCTCACTCTGTGGTTTACTGTATAAACTCTGAGCTATTAGGTTTCTTAGCTTTTAAATTTATGTTTTTCGGAATTACAAAACAAATGAAACCAAAACAGTTACAAGGACAATTACATTTTTTCCTTGATTGAGTGGTTGCCCCAGCAAGTGACAGCCATGACTTTCAAGATCAATGTCTTTGCTATTGGGTTGCTATGAGTTGGAATCGACTTGACGGCAACAGGTTATAGATGTGCATCCTCCCAAAAAAATCGGTTTAAAAGTATGAAAGTCATAATTATCACACATTGTTTTCTCTCTAGAATTTGTACCTTGAGGCAATCCATTTAGAAAGCATATTCCTGATTGCTGCTTTAATGAGGGTGTTGGCATTGGGTTGGAGTAGGCTCAACAGCAACGGATTTTAGTTTGGCTTTGAGTGATGCAGGTATAAAAATACTTGAAACAATTCATCGTTTAATATCATATTAAAGCCTTCATATAAATCTAAGATCAAGTGACTTTAGCTAAAGTGATTTTAATAGACTTCTGATTAACTCCTGATATAGTCATTTCTTTTGTCAATATATTTCCCAAAATACAGGGAATGAGAAGATTTTATATATTACACAGACATTTTGCAACTTTAAATGTTCGAGTATTTTTAATTTTGTTATTTTCTATTTATGGCAAATGTCAAATTGTCACAGATTTCTCATTTGCAGTGGCTATATAAAGTTTAGTTTTCAGATTTATTGAAATACAGTTGTAAGTCAATTTAAGAAAAATAAGCTAAGCAAATAATAGTCTAATATGTCAGGGTTGGAAAATCATAAAATATAACAATAATTAAAGATTAGAAGAAAGAGTCCTATGCCAAGTTGTCACAATTACACACACATACACCTCTATGTTATATGCAGTAACTTTTTGGGGTGCTATCAGCCAATCAGATACTACTGCTAACAATCCTACAAGATTTATATATACCCCTTTTGATTTTTTCAGATAGATTCAATAATTCCACAATGTTAATGACTATTAACTGGTTGGACTGAAACATAAAATTCAGTAAGTGTGTATCAAAGTCTTTGTTGTCCATGATGCTTGAGTGCCTCCTCAATATGTTATTATAAGAGTTGTTAATTTTAGTGATGCAGTACTCAGACAAAATCGGAGGGAACTCAGATAACATATAATCCCTCAGATTTTTACCTTTCTTTCTTTCTATGATTGCATAATAGAGTTTCTTTTGCTATTTTATATATACCTGTAATATCCTGATTATACTTACACACACACACACCACACTTGTATAACTGCACATGCATAAGTACTTACATGTTTCGTGGATATTTAGATATATTTATCTATAAACACACAGAAACGTGTATATATAAATCTGTATGCATACATATGTATTTATTTGTAGCACATAAAATTTTTTTTCCCTCAGTACACACCTATCACTCTCCTTCAAAACATATCAGCCTAGCAACCCTTTTGTTGTCCTTTTCAATTTAAGCTCATGGGGCTTGACCATCAAGGAATGGATGTACTCTGTGGGAAAGCAGAAATACATTACAAAATGGCAAAGAGACCAAGCCTATAGACATTTTAGCGAAAATCACCTCCTTTGATATGTGCATTCTTTATTGTAAAAGCTTAACTTATCATATCTTTATTTCCACAATGATCTCAGTGATGCTAGGATGTTGGCAGGGAGTGAAAGAAAAAGAAGGCTCTTATGCTAATGTAATATGGTTGTGTTTATATATTTAAAAAAGGAAATCTTAGCTAGTATTGAAATGGACTTTGTGGACCAGCCTAAGTCTGTATGCATTTTATTGGTCAGAGTGCCTGGGTCGAGTCTTCATTTTACCACATTCTAGGTGAGGAGTCATAGACTTCTTAGTTTAAGCTCTGTTGCTAAGTTTCCTTGTCCATAAAATGGAGATGATAATATTGCCTTCCTTACAAGGTTATTATGAGGACTAAAGGTATATAAAATAGTGCTTGACAGATAGCAAACACACAGTAGATTCCTGCCATCATTATTATTCATGTGTCCATTTCTCCCTCTGAACTAAGTGCGTACACATTCATAGTACTCTCTTCATCCACTCTAGCGAATATAACACAAGGTATTTTGAACAAATTATACTGAAAGCCTGTTTTCCTTTCCACTTTTACCACTTTAACTTACTGCTATGACCTCGACTTCTATGCAAGCATAATCTGGTTATAGTTATATTGAGGCAATACTGTATATCTGGTTATAGTTATATTGAGGCAATACCCTATTTCACAGATTTTTATGTCTTTAATTGTTGTGTCTGTCCTTTATGGTTTCGTTGAGACTTTCTGAAGCTTATGGCCAAGTTTAATGGTCTCTATCTGTAACCCACTCCAGCACTGCAAGATATGGGCAAATTTATAGATTCATCAAAGACAGCTTTTGACATTTGAGTTATTTCATTATATTGGTTTTTCTCTAGATATTTCTTTTACTAGTCTTAGGGGAAGGGAAATGGTATTTCTCTATCTCTGCTCTTTGATAGGAGCCCTGGTGGCACAGTGGTTAAGAACTTGGCTGCTAACCAAAAAGTTGGCAGTTTGAGTCCACCAGCCACTCCTTGGAAACCCTATGGGACAATTCTGCTCTGTCCTATGGGATCACTATGAG